CCTCAGATAGAATCACTAAAAAAAGGCAAGTTGTAAGAAAATTAGTCTTGGATTTTAATTGAATAAGCAGCAAGTTAATAGCTATTTACGTAAAATTTTTTATTAATTAAATAGATGAAATCAAATTAGAGAAAAATAATGTTGGTAGTGAACATCAAGAGAGTCCCCTAGTCAATACAGGTGGAAAAAATCTATCAGAAACTGATACATCGAGCACATCAGCTACAGAACCACCAACGACTCAATCCTTATCTTCAACAATAGGATCATCGGAATCTTCTACAACCATTACAAGTACAACACTTATACAATCAAGCACAATAACAACAGCTACTGGGAAACCAACCCCTGTAACGGCATCAATGTCCATATGGGTGATACTTTTAATAGTAGTAATGTCAGTTGCTGCAGGATATTTCATTTTCATTTTAATCAAACGATTTATCGAATTAAAAAATTCAGGAATTGGCTTCAGAAATTTTAGATAGTAAACTTATCAAGAAATAAAAATATGCAAAGTAATAAACGTGTAAATTTTTTATAAAAATTAAAAATTTTTCTACAATATGCACTGTAAATTACAACAAATACTACAAATAAATAAAGGATTCTAAATTTCTTATTAAATGATTTCACTTAACTGACATTTTACAAATGAATAAAAAACATGAAATAACTAAACAAAGAATACATGTTATTAAGACAAGCAAGTAATGTAGTTCTCTTCAAATAAGTAATAATATCAAGCAAAGATATGTAACTGCTATCACTGCTATGAATCTGAAATAAATACCGATGTTATCAGATTTCTCGCAAATGCGTCTTAAATATTTTGTTTTTTGTGTGGTTAAGTATTGTTTTAATGTCTTATTTATTATTAAAAAATAGTAACGCTTTTAAAATTTGTTTTAAGATTTCAGTTGCGTAGCTTAATTATTATAAATCAAACAGTCTCATGAAAATTTAGGTATTCATTAATTTATGCGTAGAAATGCTCATTTATGTTCTCATTTTCGTTAGACAATTTTTTTCGTACTTCATAGTTACTGACAATAATTAATTATATTCTCGATGTTTCTACTTTTAACAACTTAAAATCATAAGTCTATTGCTTCAAAATAAATTATCTCTTTAAAGTGATTTATCAACACCTAAATAATTATGTTGGTGTTGTAAAAATATTCTTACAGTTATTTCAAGAAATTGTGTTTGAATGATCACTTTTTTTCAAATTTATTTATTTCTTCTTGCTTTCATTAATATATTTGTAATTATTTACACAATTTTTACTCTTATCCTATCATAAAAAGAGTATTATAACAAAGTCCCTTACTTGAATAGTAACTGTTTTTTAAGCTAATCATTTAAAGTTTATAGATATGTATCATGCAAAATATCATCCGTAGAATTATTGTACTAATAATTTTCTTTATGTTTATAAGTCTGAAATATTAAAGTTTTGCCATCGTACATTCAAGGATTAAGAGCGAAGAGGGGTCTCTATGTTTTAAAGTATCTAGAATAAAAGTAAATTAAATATTTAACCAAAAACACTTTGTTTCCATGTAGTTATTTTCTAAATTACAGAGTGGACGAGAAACGACACACCAAAATATAGAATACTCTGTACTAACTATGACGAGGGATATAATAAGTACCTTAAGTCAATATCGAGTTCTATTAAAATATCTTAAAAACTAAGGAGTATGTTAACAAAAACACAAAATTGTGCAAGAAATAACGATAAATATAATCAATTATTTTCCAAATAAACTGGATAGGAACGACGGCAATACTGCTGTGGAATATTCTGTTTTACCGCGGTTGACAACAACGGATCAGATGTCTATTAAATCATGCTAGATAAAATCTTAATGTTTAATTGTGAATACAAGAAAAAAATAAATTTTAGAAAATAAAATTTACAATTGCATATGGAACATCCTTTAACTTAAAATCAAATTACTAGTTATTATTATTACATGTATTAGATTTTTTACCCTCATTTTCGATCTTTAGATTGAAATATCTGAAGATCCAGAGAACAAAGCATTAAATACTGTTTAATTCTTATGAGGCTCTTATTATTAGACGTATTAGGATTAAAAGTTTTATAGCTCTTATCTGGAATCACCCACAAAATCCGTGATTAATAAATTGCTTAGTTCTGAGTAAACTAACCAATTTGTCAAATAATTTTTTAACTTTGTATCAAGATTGTTTTAAAACAATTTCATCGAATTTATATTTTCCATGATGGTGGAACAACTTCAAGAAAATGTCTAGAGTTTAGTCAACAGCCAATGGGATGAGCTTACGTTTACCAATTAAATATAAGTTGCCACCCGAGATGCTTAATACTTAGTCAGAATTTTTTTATTCGAAATTGTTCATTATTTAAAAAAAATTTCTTTTACTTTATCATGGGAATAGTTTTATTAGTCATGATTATCTTGGGTGGGGTCCGAAATATCGACTGTGCACCTCATTTTTGTAGTAAAACTATAAATGTTTTGTCGAAAGCGACAGCTCAGTATAACGACTGTTCATTATTTCGACAGCCAATCGTAGAGCAGCATAGATGGAAAGTCAAAGTGAACTACCTCGTGATTAGTTGTCGAAATATTGAACAATCGTTGCACTGAGCTGTCGCTGTCATCAAAATAAACGTCGGTGGGATAAACATATATGGTTTTACAACAAAATTGAAGTGGGCTGTCGTTATTTCGGACCCCCCTTCCCAAGATATTCAGTTAAATTTTCGAAATTTCAAAACATGTGCTGACGTATATTATCTAAACCTTTGCGCATGCCCAAGAATATCATAGAGACAGAATATTTTAATGTGTAAATTAAAAAGCTATTAGCTTAATCTCTGCATAGCACACACTTAGACGGTTAACTAACTTCAACGTGCTCAGTTTTTGTTTCTTCTGCATTCATTGTAGTTCAAAAATTCACTTGCTCCTTGAAAATAAGTTATTTAAACAAGTTTTAAAATACTTCATTAAGTGAGTGTACTAAAGTTTCAAATATTTGTCTGATTGAATGTGTTTTTACTAAAAAACATTATTTGCATCATGCCATTTTCACACTTAGTACATAAAGTATATTTTGTGCATTACTAAAATTGCATAAACTTACATTTTGAGTTTTATGCTAACAGTATTATTGTAATACAAAATTAATCTTATAATTAGGATTAAAGAAAAATAAATTCATGCGAGTGTGTGGTATCCTGTAAATTTAATAACCGTGTAACTATTAAATTATCATATTTTTTAGAATGTGTTGGAGAAAACAGTTGGTATTATTTGTGATACTTTTGTCGTTGACAATAAACTATGCTGAAGAAACTACATCAGAATCGACAGTGACGTCAACAACAGTTGATTCGAATAGCACAAATGTTTTAAACGGAACCAGCTTAATTGACAAATCGCTGTTGGAACCACCAAGAACGCCTGTATGGGTTATCGTTATTATTGTTATTATGGCGATTGTTTCAATATACCTCATTTTTTTAATAGTAAAAGAAATCTTCGAGCTAAAAAAATCAGGATTTTCATTTAGAAACCTGTTCAGAAATTAAATTTGTAATAAGTCAAAATATCAATCAGTTTTTTTAATAAATTGTATACAGTCTAAATGATGTTTCTTCAGACCTTAATTTCAAATCTAGCTCCTTAATAATGCAATTGTTGATTTTATGACGAAAAAGACGGTTTTTTATACTCAACACATAGCAGGTTCATTAGTTTTGTAATCTTAAAACGTACTTACCAACAGAAACGACACACGCCTATCAATGAATCTCCAACAAACATAAGTTTTATCGTGTCACGCGTGCGCTTACGTGAGTTTCAAGAATATTCCGTCATTTGTGATAACAAGTATCATTGATTATAACTGTACAAAATAACACATTGACTTGTATTGTTAAGGTTTGGCTGTATTACAAAGATACAAATAAAATATGCTAATTAAAAATTGATAAAAAAAATTTTGTGTGTAAATTATTTTGCCTTTAATTATTTTCCATAAAAAGCTATATTAATTTTTATACTTATCATTGTTACTTAAATTAAAAAATCTACGTTTCTTAGTTCTAAGTGAATTATGATTGTTTTCGAATAGTCTCATCGACGCTATTAGATACTAATAGACACTAATCAATACCTTTCAAAATCAAAACTTTTCATCAAACGTTTTAAAAATAATCATACTATTAGTATCATTATTGTATCATCATTGGTACAAAGAAAAGTTTTTTTATTAAACGATCAAAATTTACTTGGTTAATTATTCGCGGGCCGTAAGTTGTATCGAAAAATGTTATTTTGCCTACCTCGAGTTAAAATAATACATTTACCCTCTGTACGAGAGTAAGAGTGTTATTTTAAGTTAAGGTACAAGCCAAAAGATATCAAATGCACTACGAACAGACGAACGGATGCTCAGACCACATGTTTGCCATCAACTTCATTTCAAGTGATCATATTCATACGATGCGTGACATATATTTTAGCTGCACACTGTACTATTTACAGCCAATTAATTTTTAAAGTTTCATCCATGCGTTATTCTATTGATTGCAGGTTATGAATAGCTTATAGCAACAGTAATTCACTAAGTCCAAAAGCACGATAAAGTCGTAGTACAGCCGTAGCACAGCGTTTCTACTAACGACCCATGCGAGCCACTGGTTAATGATAAAGCACTGATAATAAAATCAGCTTGATAGATAAAGCATTTCAAGTTTCCTGGTCACACGATAAAAATCAGAAAGTTGCGATTGAGGTGAAGTGAAATGCTTGATTTTCATATACTTGCATACCGAAAAATAATAATCTCTTCTCTTTTTCCTCGTACTGTTTTGTCTACACATGATAAATCATATTGATTTTAACAACCCGAACACTCAGCCTACACTTGATTGTTTCACTTTTGCACTTTTTAATCGAAAATACACGTAAAGTCAAGGGAATAGTTACTTATATGTTGTTTTCAAAATAAAAAGAGCGCGCTCGGTGCACCGTGCGTTTTTGCAACTGCGTTTTTGCTCGTCTTTGCGAGGCGTCCGAATGTGGGTCGTACCTCCGTTTTTGGCCAGGCGCCAAGTACATCTTTGGCCGTGGATTTTTTATTCGACTATAATACGTCGTTGAAGCGAACTCGTTCATTTTCTCTCCCTTGACGCGAACCGAAGAAACTTCATCTCCTCAATGCTCTCCAATAACGCATCCATGTGCCACTATGGTACTTTCCTTATCATACAATGTCTGAGACGCGTGACTTTTTTCATGTGCCCTATGCAATTAAAATGTTAATTGAACAGACGTACACGTAATAACAAAAAAGTAGGTCAAAGGACATCAAAATAAGTCTCTCAAAAAAAGAAAAAAAAATCAAGTTTGCAAAGCATGACTGGTTTATCTCGATGCTTTAACGTGCTTTATGCTCATTCTGGTATTACATATACACTGCAAGCTCGCCTCTCTTGTTCGCTCCGTCACGTCGACAAATATATTATACAGATACATACGCCCTAGAGACTTGTCTTTTCGTTCGCATACCACCTTCCGAGTGAAGTCTTTGTAGTTCCACGTCGTTTCACAC